AAGAATGATATCTTTCTCCAGAGACTAGAAAATGTATCCAAAGGACATAAGACCAAGTCTCTTCCAAGGAGCTTTTTGGGATATTGCCTCCAGTTATTTCCAGAATAAAGCATTTTTTGATGGCTTCCGTGGGGTTGTGAAGGTTAACCTCCTAAATGGTGATGAAAAGAAACTAGAATCATAGGGAAGGAGGAACTTAACAGAAATTCTCAGGCCATGTAAGCAGCACATTCCAGTCCTTAAATTGGAATTTGTGGCTATCCATGTGGGGTTTCTTTCTAAAATCCGAGAACAAGCTTATTTTAAAAGTTAAAGCAGAGTTTTTCTAATAATCTCTAAAATGGAATTTATTTCTTGCTGATGGGGGTAGAATCCGAGGAAAGAATACGCAATAGATTGTTTAACTCATAAGAAACTTATTCACAGGGTCACTTTGGAGTGCTGTGATCGAGGTAGCTCATTCGGTGCCATCCACACACTTATTTTTAGAGCAAGGGCATGGTGATGTGCGATATCATAGCTGAGTGTTGTTTTCAGAACGTAAGTTTTAAAATTGTTATCCTGGTCAGAGAGTGAAATCAGTAGTGCCTATTTTAGACCAGCTTGGAAAAATATAACTCAGTACATTGTAGCTTGCTGGCTAGTTGTTTTGCAGACTACCATCTCCACCTCAACTCTAAAGAATGGTATGGTAAAATCTTATTTGCTGGGGACTGTAGGATTTTAGACTGTAGGATTTGTTGAGTATCAAGAGGACAAATGCCTTTCATTTTAGTTCTTTTTAGATAATTTCATTTTAATTTTTTTTATGGAAACAAATTTTATATTAGTAGAGAGAAAGTGTAGTGTTATACTTAAGACATTTCTAAACAGGTGTTTGCTTGTTTTTAGTATTGCTCTATACAGGAAATTCATTTGAGTAGAGTGGAAATGTCTATAAAACTTAATTTTAGGTAAATTAACTTGAGGTTTTGATACTTTAAAATTAGCCTTTCAACAAATATCTGTTTAAACTGCATTGATTCCAGAGTTTAGAGTTCAGAAAGAAAGAAAGAAATGTTAGTGGAAAAGTGGCAGAGTGGTATTTGACAGTAGAGGGTAGGAGATGAAGACCTGGCAGTTTGCCTTTCACTACTTCACGCTGCGTCCACAGTCGCCTGGGAGAGTTAGTTTAGGCCAGTGCTGCAGGCAAATTTATAGCCCTCAACACCCCATAGTATTGATGTGTGTAAAGAAGCACTGATTCTCTGAGCATGTCTCTTTGTTTCTTGTTCACTTATTGTTATGCCAATAATAAGTCAGTTATTAGTAGGCTATACTTAACAGAATTGAGATTATATACTCTTCTTAATGTGCTTTGAACTTTGAGTTGATATGGACCTTGGGTTGTAATAGTAAGTTAGTGATGGACTTTAGAAAGCATCACAACTACTCGGAGTGCATGAGGCTGGTTTTTCCTCTTTATTAGCCTGGGTACAATTAGTAATTGTTCCCATCAGTTGAGAGAAATTTTTGACAAGTAATACTGTTCTGCTTGGTAGTTCTTAGATGCATCTCTTTTATTAGTTCAAACTCACTAGAGAGGTTGATTCCATTTGCTTTTGTTAGTAATTTTTTTTTCTTTTAAATTACCATTCAAACGTAAGCAATTGGAAATGCTGACCTTGTTTAAAAAAATATTCTCTTTTCTAATTAGGATTTAACCCCCACCATGGCGAGCAAACGGAATAAGATCAAGGGCAGGAAGCACCTTCAGCGTGCAACATCCAACGTGTTTGCCATGTTTGATCAGTCCCAGATTCAGGAGTTCAAAGAGGCCTTCAACATGATTGACCAGAACAGAGATGGCTTCATCGATAAGGAAGATTTGCATGATATGCTGGCCTCTCTAGGTAATAGTCACTTTTGACAGAAATCTGTGAAATCTAATTTCTTTAAAGCCTTTTATGTTTGTGTCTTAAAAGTTCTGTGAAATGAGCTTAATGGTTTAAATAGTGTACTGAGATTTTTCAAAATTATGTTGGAGAGTAAAAATACTGATCTCGATTGTCAGGACATTTCCTTCTGCTAGCCCAGAGGAGTAACAGCCTCTAATACAGAGAGCTCTCATGGCATAGTCTGGAAGGAGTTGACTTGCTCATCCAGAGACAACACTGCTGGTGGTTCAAACTCACTGCTGCCCTGTGGGAGAAAGATGGGCATTCTTCTGTGCCATTACAGCCTCATAAACCCAACAGAGGGTCTGCTATTAACTCAGTTCCAACTTAACAGCAATGAGAGAGAGAGATTATTGAAAACTTTGCCCCTAAAATAGTTTTGCTTCCATGAATTCAAATAGCAGACTATATTAAATATAGTCTTTCTTGCCAAAATGTTTACTGTAATTAATAATTGGTATGTAATAAGAACAATTGGGAGGAGTGGCATCCACTTCCATAATAGCTTGCCTCCAGAAACCCTATGAACCTGGAGAGAGGATGAAACGCACCCAAGCATCGAGGACTCTCCTTCATAGGGTCGCTGTGAATCACCTGCGACTTGACGGCACTTAACAACAACAACAACAACAACAATAAGAACAATAAGAACAAACAGGTCTTTCCTGGAGACCTGAAATCAGGCTGCTCCTTGGAGGCAAGGGTTTTTGAAGTTCCATCTCACATAGTTTGGGCATGTTGCCAGGAGGGACCCCCTCATGGAGAGGGATAAGATGGACTGACACAGTGAGTGAGGGAATGGGGGTAGATGTGTCGGAGACAAAGAAGTTGGCTCGAGATAGAGCAGGGTTCAGATCTGTTGTACATAAGGTCACTGTGCGTTGCAAGCTACCCGACACACATACAACAATGTAATTAAAATTACAGCTTCATTTTTGTTTAGGGAAGAACCCTACTGATGAGTCCCTAGAAAACATGATAATTGAAGCTCCAGGGCCCATCAACTTTACCATGTTCCTCACGATGTTTGGGGAGAAGCTCAATGGGACAGATCCAGAAGATGTCATCAGAAATGCTT